CTTTCTTTTTGTTCATCGTTTTCTCCTCTCTTCCCTAAAATTAGAAGATGGAGAGTACTGTTGGTTACCTTCGGATCTTCCCCAAGAAATCCATTGACCATTACTAGGGGTGGGCATCGGTACAGTACCGTATCGTACCGTACCGATTTTAAATTGTACCGATTCAATTCGGTTCTTTAGTCTTGTACTGAGTACCGACCCAAATATGTTTAATCGGTACATTATTTGGGAATCGGTACTCGGTATTTATAAAACAGAAACCAAGTACCGACCCAATGTGTACCGGCTACAATTAGTCATATTAAATGGTACAATATCGACCTGTGTTATTGTGATTATATTTAATTAAATTACTTTTTAAAATTGTTAAAACTAGCAACATAACATTACTAAAATTACTTTAATAAATCTTCTTATAAGTAAAAAAGCTGGTATAATAGATAAAAAAAATTATTCTCAACACTTTAATCAACGTTGCTATAAACATGATAGCCAAAAATCTATAAACATCCATTGTCCATGAAATAAATCATTAACTCAAGCTTGCAGCAACAAGCAACCCAAAAAACAATATTTATAATAACAGCCAACAGCATTTACAAGCTTGCAGCAACAAGCAACCCAAATAGCAACAGCTAGTAACATTTGCAGTAATAAGCTACCCAAAAACTAAATCCAAAAGCAATATTTATAGCAACAGCTAGTAGCATTTGCAGCAATAAGCAACCCAAAAAACAAATCCGAAATTTCACATGCACAGCAGCAAATGTCAACCATCTAGAAGTGATGAACGTAACTTCTTCCTATATTCTGCAAATCATGAAATCCAATAATAACATTTAGCCAAAATAACATAATTTTTAAAATCAGCATTTAAATTGTGGACAATTTATTTTTAAAAATATTAAACTTACCTGCTTCCGCTTCCTCTAATTCATCTAAATCCTCACAATCAAGAGTAATATTGACATGTTTTCTTTTTTTCCTTAGCCAATCTTGTGTGCATACTAGAGCTTGTGCCATCTTAGGAGTTAAGGAACTCCGAAAGTCATCTAACACACGACCACTTGTGCTGAAAGCTGATTCAGATGCCACTGTTAAAACTGGAATAGCTAAAATATCTTGTGCCATTGCTGCAAGAACAGGAAATCTCCCACTCTTGAGCCTCCAAAATGAAAGAACATCATAAAATTGAGCATCATTTTCCATGATTTCTAATTTATCTTTGAGATAGATGTCAAGCTCTGATTGCTCATTCTTTTCCTGAGCTGCCTCCGATAAATATCTTCTAAATCTCTCAGTATCCTTCATCCCTTTCTTGTTTCCTGGTTCACTTTGGCAAGAAGAAACGTTGCCATTCCTATTTGCCCTTAAGCTTGCAACACCACCAAGACCATTCCCACCACTTTGTTTAGATCCAACAAGGTGATTAAGGTTATTTTGATTAGGCCCTTGCCCCCCACTAGAACCAGATGTGGCATTTGTGCTATTACTACCACAATTCTCATTCTGATTTTCTATTTCAGTCTTGTAAAAATCAAACAACTTTCTCAATTCAGCTTCAATCCAGCATCCATATTCTTTTGCTTTTCCTTCCGGCTCTGGATACAAATCCCCAAGAAGGCAATTTAAATATCCCATTTTTTGACTAGGATCCAACACCACCGCAAAAAAAATGTTCTTATTCATTTTTGTTGGATCCCCCCAATATTTTGCAAACTTCTCCTTCATGTTCCATGCCAAAGCAGCTAAGTCAGCCTCTTTGGAGCTTTCCCATTTGTTTATAAGAGTATTAATCTCACACAATTCATGTAACAATAAATTAATAGTACAATACCAGCTCCCACTCACCTATAGGATAAAAATCATGTAATATAACACTTTAAAATATGCCAACAATTACAAAAATTAATTAAAAAGTGATAATAGCTAGCAAATCTTTTTTTGGGTTAAAACTTGTTTATGATTGTTATTCCAAAACTCTGAATCTCTAATCAGTTTGGGTCCATTACCTATTTTCAAAAAAATAAAAAATAAAAATCATGTAATATAACACTTCAACACTGAATACGACAGTCCCAGCAATCCAAGACTCACAAACGGGGATGAGCTTATGGCTGGATATTAATTTATTAAGACTATATTTTGGCTACTTGAAGACAATACATATTTTTTAAGACAGTGCAATTTTTTAACAAGACAGTGCAAATTTATTACTAACATAAACACACAACTTCCACACAAAAAAAAAAGGGGGGCGGGACAATATACCAAAGCAGGAGCATTAATGGTCATATCAAGAGCCATAAATCTTTGAAATGATCCAGAAACTCCAGCAGAACCTTTTAGAAAGTTTAATGCCAAAAGAAATCATAGGAGGACGTCGGTAATATCTAACTTGGTTTTAATTTCAGAAACAGCTTTGGAATTCAATAGCAAAACAAAAGCCAGAGGAAATCAACTCACAAAATAAGAAATTAAATTTATTTAAAAGCTCATTTACTAAAATTAAACTTTACCTTCAAAGTGAACAAATAGAAATGCTCAAGGAATCTAGTTAGTCTTCTGATGTTTTCCCAATCCTCAAAGTCTGGAATTCCAGGAGCACTTGGAGCATTCAATTCATCTCTGAATGTTTTTTCTTGCCTTGCGAGCCTATTTCACATTTAAAAATTAAAAAAAAAATCAGATTAAAAAAAAAAAAGAACAATGAAAATTTAATATATAAAATTTATCTAGAATTAATAATTTGTATGTTACCTGGCAAATGCTTGTTCATACTTCTCAGCCCTTTGCAACATATCATAAGATGAGTTCCACCTATGGGGAACATCTAAGCACACATTCTTTTTGAAATCAATCTCCTCGAATGCAACCACATCCTTAAAAGTTTTTACCCTTAAAGTGCTTTGCCTAACCCACTTGCAACAAGCTCTTACTGATTCCACAGAATTGTTGTATAATTTCATACCATCATGGACAACTAAGTTTGCGATGTGTGCTACACAACGCATATGCAAATCCTTCCCCCGTAACACACTAGTCCCCCATTTGTTAAGGCATTCTCTCAATGACCTAACCAACACATCATTTGCACTAGCATTGTTAACAGTAATACAATAAACCCTATCAATGCCCCACTCTCTTAAGCATCTCTCTAACATATCCCCTAAGTCCTCCCCTTTATGACTATCCACAGGGACAAAGCACAATATCTTCTTTTGCAAATTCCAATTATCATCAATAAAGTGAGCAGTGAGAGACATATAAGAGATTTTATTTTGTGAAGTCCATGTATCCGTAGTTAAAGAGACTCTCATCTTCCTATCCTTAAAGAATTTGGACAAATCATCTCTAAGGTCACAATATAAAGCAAGGATATCTCTTGTGATGATTCTCCTAGATGGAGGCTTAAAATGTTGTGGAAGACATACTTTACAAAAATGTAAAAATCCTTCTTTTTCAACAAAACTGAAAGGTAACTCATCTAAAATAATCATCACAGCAATTGCCTTCCTAGATGCCACTCCATCAAACTTCCACTGTCCTAAATGCACTGCCTCACCTCCATCAATAGTTGTAAACTTTATCAACTTCAATTGTGCTTGTTTTTTCAAATTTTCTGGATTTAATTTGCATCTAGTTATGTGTTTCTTAAGGCCTGAAGTCCCATTATTTGAAGAACAAGCTCTTATGACAACACTACACCATTTACACCTCCCCTTTGGTTTCCCATCAGGACCAATAAAGCACACAAAATATTTCCAAGCTTCAGAAGTTTTACCCCTTGGTTTCTGTTGAGTGCCTTGAGGTTGAGATTGTTCATTGACCTCAGGAGGTTGATTCTTTTGAGAAACTCTTCCCCTTTTTTTAGTTATATTTGTTGTGCTTTCTTTAGCTCTAGTGATATTCCCCTCACTGCTTTTACCAAGACTATCATCAATATCATCTTCCTCATCATCTTCCTCCTCATCATCTTCCTCTTCCTCCTCTTCTAAGTCTTCTTTATATTCCTCATCATCTTCCTCCGTTTGCTTTCCTTTGGTCTTTTGCATTTCTTCCATCCTTTTCTCATGGCTTTCAAATTCTTCCTCCAAATCATATCTTAGTGGAGGTGCCTAAGCATTAAAAAATATTGCAAGAATTTAAACATTAATTAATAGTACATAAGATAGGGAGGGAACATAAGAAATTTAATGTATATGCAAAGCATATATATACCAAAGAATTAAATTCAGATAGTTGTTCTTCTCTTGGTGCTCCCTCTACTGATTCAGAAGGGTAACTATTCATTTGAATTCTTGAAGTTGACATCATTTATAGCATTCTGTATTTAAAATAGAAGAGACATGTCAATTGTCAAATAAAGAAAATAGAAACTAAACAAAAAAATTCAAAGAAAAACAGTAAATTAATTGACTAAAAAGAGGGAAATAGAGCAAATATCTATGGCAAATAGAGTAAGTAGAAACTAAATAGAAAAATTCAAAGGAAAAAAAGCAAATAAACCAACTAAAAAAAGAAAAACAGAGCATATATCAATTGTGTTGACATTAAAAATATGACAAGTAAAAATACTTCTAAAGTTCTAAATTTGAAAATCTTCAATGTCAAATGAATAAAAATAAAAGCATTGGCATAGTGGTGGGCCATTTGCAAATGGACGGATGGACCCATTTCATTTGGCTTCTTGCAAGCAATTATATAATTTATTGTCCGCCTTATATTTCTTTAATCACATGGTCTTCCCTCTCTCTTCACAAAACCCCATTTTTCAAAGATGAGCAAAACACTTTTGGCTTTTCCTTCTAATTTGGCAGAAGAAACACATATAAAAAAGTAAAGCCTCAAAGCAGCATCACAGTTCACAGAGATGGAGCATGGTATGCGATTCTCTCACAATCTCACTTTCTCATCTTTTCCAACTTGTCTTCTCACCTCTCGTTTTCCCTGTACTCTCTCTGTTTCTCTATTATTTCAATTTTCAAGTTTTGCAAGAATAAAACTTCCAATCTTCTAAAATTTTGTTTGGATTCAAAGCAGCTGAAAGGGAATTCTTTAAGAATTTGCACATCACACATTCATACCCATTTTTGGAAGAAAGATCAAGCAAAGTGTGTACTATTCTAGTATTCTGGTTTCTAGACTTACTGGTGGTCGTATTTGGT